CCTGAGAAACGTGACACAAGGTTGCTTGTTAGTACATGCATAGGCCGATGAGTGGATGGAGAGTTCACTGACAGTTTGTGGAGTTACCTGTTGCACCCATGAACTAGTAGAGGAGAAACTAGCATACACAGCTAGGCCCAGCTAGGGAATTGAGCTGCTGTCCTTGTCTCCATGGAGATAACCATTGGTGTGGCTGTAAATGTTGTTCATTGTGAGCCATGTTTTCAAGATAGCGTGACTCAGTTTTTCCACAATCAGCCACCTCCCTGAATCTCCTGGCTCCACGTTGATTAGGAAGAGAGGGACACTGACTGTATTTGCAGTCCTTAACCTGAAGAGGTCGAGGGCATTCTTTGTTGGCTTTGGCTCTGGCTTGTACTATATTGCTGAACTTGCTGTCTCTTAACACCTAGGTTACCTCTGGAACCTCCAGGTGAAACTTCAGCCCATAGTCAATCTCTTGCCAGATAAGGGGAGGTTGATGGACTTTCTTCTCCAGAGGAAGGGTGCAAGACGGTTATCCTGTCTGTCTGTTCACAGAGTAAGTGGACTCACCCTCCCCACAGCTCTGTGTTCCCACTTTTTTTGTTATTGTTCTGGATTTTCAAGACAGGCTTTCTATGTAGCCCTGGTTGTCCCTTTGTAGACCAGGCAGGCCTTGAACTCAGGAAATCTGCCTTCCTCTGCCTTCTGAGTGCTGGGATTGAAGGTGTGCATCACCACTGCCCAGCCCACCACCATCTTTAGAAACAACTATGAATTTTACTTGTGTGCATATGTGTGAGCACGTACCATGGTACACAGCTGGATGTCCGAGGACAACTTACAGGAGTCTGCTCTCTAGCACGGGCCCCTGAGATTGAACACAGCCAGGCCTGGTGAGTATTTGCTTATTGCCTGCTGAACCATTTTGCCAGGGCACACCCATCCATCTTTCATCTTTGTACTCAGGGCTGCATGTTTGAAGGATGGGTTACTTAACCCATCGGAAATATTGGGAAACACACAAATGACTTGTAGACTTTGGTAGAGAGCAGCTGTAGGCAGGTGGCTCCAGGGGAAAGCTGCTTGCACAGCCAGTGTCCTTTAGTGACACCTGCCTTGCTTGTTGCCTCTCGTCACCAACAGGGGTCCTGACTGATTTTGAGGTGCTGGTTCTCTAAAACATTTCTTTGAAGGTCCTTTAAATCAGTGTTTCCATTGGTTCCCCTTTGAGATTTCCTTGTCACCGCCACACTGAGATTCTGATTACACTGGGTCCGATCTTGTGTATTGTCCTTTCCAGTGCTGACCGAGTCAGACAGAGCCACGCTGCCGGTGGTAGCCACTGTTTTTGATAAACTCAACCATGAGTATAAAAAGTACTTGGATGCCGAGCAGAGCTACACAATGGTAAGTTAGATTGTGAAGGAGTCCCGCTGTATGGTGTGGGTTAGATAGCATAATGTCGGAGGTTTGACACATGGCAGGGCAAGGTGACAGTGGTGTACCCAGGGTCCCTCTGTGCCGCTGGCATGAGGCTCCGACTCAGCACCTTCACTGCTTCTGCTTTTCAAAGTCTGAGCTCACCTGTGCACATGCTCTTGGTCTGCTTCTATTCTGTGGGAAGAAAGTCAGCCGGGGCTTTGGCCAGAGCCTGCACTTAGTAAATTAAGTGTGATCTCCATTATTAGCTACGCCTTCTTCCCTTCACTTTAGCAATATTTACAAATATAAGGCTATCTAGAAGTATGGGTGAGGTGTGCACAACGTACAACATGTACCTGTATGAAAACTCAAGTAAATTTTAATAATTATTTTTATTCCAGTTAAACATTTTTTTTAGACAGGGTCTCCCTGTGTATTTCTAGCTGGCCTAGAACTTGCTATGTAGACCAGGTTGGCCTTAAAAGTCAGAGAGCACTTTAATCCCAAGTGCCGGTATTAAAGGAATGTCCCAAGGTACCTCGCCAACACATTTTATTGGAATTTGTTCTTTGACAATTTCGTATGTGTGTGCGGCATACTATTTACTCTAACCCTCCCCCTATTACCTTGCCCCTCCCTTTTCTCTCCTGTCACCCCCTCCTCCCTACAAGTCTTTTTTTGGGGGGGGCGGTGTTCGAGACAGGGTTTATCTGCAGTTTTGGAGCCTGTCCTGGAACTCCCTCAGTAGACCAGGCTGTCCTTGTACTAGTAGATTCACTTGCCTCTGCCTCCTGAGTGTTGGGATTAAAGGCATCGCCACTTAGCCTGTGCCTGGCTAAGTCTCTGTCCCATTTTGATGGCTTTGTTTTGTGACCCAGATTTTAACAAGGACTGTGTGCACAGGCTTGAAAATGTCCATTGGAGCCTGGATCACTGTTGGGTGCACACCTGAAGGCCATAGCCGTCTCTCCCCCAGATTTCATCAGTAGCCAGTAGTTCAGGGAGGGTTGGGGTCCTATGCGCTCCTCCTAGATCCATGATTGATGGCTGACAGGCCTGGGCCATCACAGCTGTTGTAAGATCATGTTGTGATTGCTGTGTCAAGCTCTATAGATAGAAGATGGGGGAAGGGCTGCAAATGCTGTTTTTTTTTTTTTTTTTTTTTTTTTACATTGCTTCTTCTTGAGCCTCAGAAAAGAGTTAAGAGTTAAGTATTTAACAGTCAGTGGTCCTTAGCATTTTGAGCAGCCATGTTTCTGGTCTCTGCCTTCACCATCATTTACTGGCAGCATCACAAAATGGTTTTATCTTACAATAGCAAAAAAGGATATGCTAGGATACTGTCACCATCAGGATCCCTGAGACATTGGTTAATGTGTGTTCCAGTTAATAGACATCACATGTTCAGTGAAAGGTTGGGGGAATTAGAGTGGCTTATTACTGTCCATTTAGTACTTCTAGTTTGGCAAGGAGGCTTGTGACAGTGGGAGACACTGTTTCCCGCCCTGTCATCACGAGGTGTGAGGGACAAGCCGTACACACTGAAGTTGAACCTGTTCACCAGGGACAGAGCTGGAGCAGCTCTGCTCAGTCTTTGGGGGAGCGCTTGGTCACCATTGACCTCATCAATGGTGGCCTAGATGGTGGTAGAAGCAGAGATGGGCGAGGCCCTGCATCCATTTCAAACACTACAAAAACGAGTAAAAAAAAATTCCAGCATAGACCCAGTCTAGGAGCCGTTTACTGCCCAGTAGAGCTTTATAAATGGGGGTGGGTGTAGCTCAAAGGGTTAAAAAGAAGCCGGATCGGTTACAAGTCTTCAGAGGTTAGAAAAAGTGCAACTGTGACTTAATTTAATTTCAATCTTGCACTACTAACAACCCTGGAGTGTTTGCCAGGGGACCAGCTCTGCATCGGCAAGGTTTGGTTGGCTTGTCAAGTGTCTTACTCACATTAGGTTTGTCTAGGAATTCAGTCTGGGGTTAACTGTAATGGGTGCTATTCCTGTGGAAGATGATTAAGGTCACAACTTGTCTCTTTAGGCAGTAGAAGCAGGGCAAAGCCGGAGCAACCCACCTCTCAAAAGGCCGGTGCGGACCCAAGCGGTGGTGGACCAGTCCCCGTGTACACGCACGTGCTGTCCCATTCGTGGGAAATAAGGTGTGTTATGCTTTCTGGCCTCCTGAATGGGCGACTGTGAGGCAGCAACAGGACTCACACTGTGATTCAGTTAGTGGTACTGGGGGAGGGCCTGGGGCTGTCAGTCAGGTTGGCTTCTAATAAAGACAAGGGTTTGTTTAACCCCAGCAAAGCACGACCCTGGACCACTCTCCTGGGGACCGTGGGGTGCCTGCAGCCCCTTCTGCAACCGAGAAGACCTTCTTTCTCCATAGGAGATGCCACACAAGTTAGTGATAGCTGTACTGACGGAGTATATTCGTTCTCTGAGCCAGTTTCAGATTCCAGTACAGGTACCTTCAGAGAGGTGTTTGCTGTCTTAGGCATCAGGTCAGACATGTATTGTCGGGCTTTTTCACATGCAGCCCCAACATGGCAGTTGCTTTCAGCAGGAATGCAAAGTTTGGTTGAGAGTGCCGTTACCCCTAAACTGTGGCCTGGGGTCCAGGCTGTTGCAGCCCTCAGCCAGTCATGGTTGGGTGACTTGGTAACGTCCTTTACCTTTCTTGTGTTCCTAGCATTACTTCCATGAACTTGTCATCAAGACACTTGTCCAGCACAACCTCTTTTACATGTTGCACCAGTTTCTGCAGTACCACGTGCTCAGCGACTCCAAACCTTTGGTCAGTACCACTGGGTCTTCACTGCTGTAGCCACCAAAACCTCCCAGTGCTAACCTTGCAGCTGACGCTAGTTGACTCTTGTCTTTCAGGCCTGCCTGCTGCTGTCCCTGGAAAGCTTTTACCCTCCTGCCCACCAGCTATCTCTGGACATGCTGAAGGTAAGTGCTCTGCCTGCCACAGCTTTGGGGTCACCAGCGTCCCTTCCTGTGGTTGCCCTGACCTCCTCCTTTCTTGCTTCCAGAGACTTTCAACAGCAAATGATGAGATTGTAGAAGTTCTTCTATCCAAACACCAAGTGTTGGCTGCCCTAGGTTCATCCGGGGCATTGGTGGCCATGACAACATTTCTGCACCCAAATTCTTAGATGCTGCCAAGCAGACAGATGATGTCATGCTCTTCTATACTATATTCCGTTTCTTTGAACAGCGAAACCAGCGTTTGCGAGGGAACCCTAACTTCACACCAGGTAAGGGAAGGCCTGGGGTGACCACAAACAATAGAGTATACTCCTGGGTGGAAACATTCTGAAGTTCCCAACACCTTTGGCCTGGGGTCTGCATTCAAGAAGATACAGAATCTGATGGATCAGAACTACCCACCCTCTGAGACTCAGGAGAGGAATTCAGGGGTCTTTTAAGAAAGTGGTAGTAAATGGGGTGCAAGTGGGAACGAGCTTCAGTTACTGGGCATGTGTATGTATGGATGTGTGTATATAGTGCAGACAGGCTGCTCATCGGTCTAACACAGGGCAGTTGGCTGGGTCGCAATACAAAGTGATAAGTGATCTCAAACTTTAGGAGGATGAGGTATTTTATTAAAGAAAAATAAGTTAAAACCCATGAGTTCTGTCTGCATTCCCTTCTTCCCATGCCATAACTGTTGGTGACTGAGGCTACATTTCCCCACAGGAGAACACTGTGAAGAACACGTTGCCTTTTTCAAGCAGGTTTTTGGAGAACAAGCTCTGATGAGGCCTACGACATTCTGAAGTCCCTTGATAGTTTTTTTTTTTTTTTTAAATATAAAAATGTACAAAGTTAATTTATTGCATTAATAAAGCTCTTTAAACTACAGAATGTTGTAATAAAGTACCTACAATATCCTCAAATGTTGCTAAAAAATAAGCTATAGAATGTGTGTGGTGGCTATTTCCTGAAAAAGGAGATAGCACGTGGACTGAGTGGCTTCTCAGATGGTAACTGGGTCACGTTTGCAGCCATCCAAGTATCCTTCCTCTTGCCCAAGATAAGGTTTTGTTTTTTTTTTTTAATGCTGTAGGGGCCAGGAACTGTCATCTTCAGCTTCCATAATACTGCTTCACAGTCATAGGTGCATTCCTGAGTTTAAAAGTGTGCGTGGAGCTGCATTTGCCACAGCTGTGACCCAGCCTAATGCCTAGGAGCAAGCGGCATCCAGCACAGCTGTTCTGCAGAAACTTGACCTCTACATAGACAAAGTCACCAAAGCCTGCTACAAGGCTAAAAGTTGAGGAGCCGTTCTCTCTCGGTCCCTTTGTATCGCTCTTGAGTGGTGTGTCTTTTAGCTTTATTTACCGATGGTCCTATGTGAGACAAAAGAAAAGAAGTATAAATAATTTAGGTATGGAAGAAAGCCCCTGGTTTTGTTGGTTTTTCTATTTTGTGTGCAGGTGTTTTGCCTGCATATATGGCCATGCACAATATGTGTGCAGTGCCCCCAGAGACCAGAAGGGGGGTGTCAGATCCCCTTAGACTGTTGTTACAGAGAGCTGTGAGCTGCCATGTGGGTGCTGGGAATCAAACCTGGATCCAGGGCTTTTAACCACTGAGCCATCACTCTGGCCTCCAATTCTTCTATTTTAATTCTTGGACTCCCTAACAAAGCTGTAAACAAGTCAGTCCCATTCTCTTCAAGCAGGGGCCGTTTGTATGCGGCAGAGTCACCAAGAGCAGCAGTAACATTCAGCTCTGGACAGTTGCCAGGAAGGAAAACAGGCTGCCCTGTACTGCTGGCAGCAGCTCAAGCCTGCTGATGATACTCAAAAACTCACTCCAGCCTTTGTTGGAGTTTCCAGAACAACAGTGAAATAATTGGCTAACTAAAAGTCTAGGGAGCCTTTATTTTTTCCTTTTATAGTTTTGTATGCAGTATGAACTATCAGGTGGCCACCAGTACAAATTCAAATACTACACAGGAATGTTCAAGATTAAAAATTTCTTTCTGCATCAAGAGTCTTTGAGCCTAGGCTGGCCTCAAACACACTATACATGACCTTGACCTCTGGATCTGTCCTCCACCTCCCAAGGCTGGGACTGCCATTTGTGACCCCATGCCCAGCTAATACAATGCTCTCTCTGAAATGTTTTCCTCCCATGCCTGTGAAAAGCAAGTACTCTTACCTATGTAGCTGAGTAAGGCGGGAAGAAATAGCAGCCCATGAGTGGCTCCAAGTAAGGCGATGGCTAAGTACATCCTAAAGTAAAATATCTCAAAGATTTGAGATTTGGCAAAGGCCAACACCGCAATCCCTCCAAATTTTGTAAGTGTGATTCCACTGAACACCTGAGGAGGTAGAAATGACTTGTTAGCATTGACGAGGATGCATCGTCACACAAACCTGCCCAGTATCGGTGTCCAAAGGGCCATGGGACAGCTGCCGAACTCTGCTTTCTGAGCCCGGAAGAAAAGGATTGCTTTGTTTGTATCTGAGGATGTTTGAGTGCAAAGGTGTGGAGGCTGGAGGCTGAGTATCTCCTCAGTGCTGAGACAGTCTCACTGAAACTGGAGCTCAGACAGCTGACCAGTGAACTCCAGGGATCCAGCCATCTCTGCCCACCACAGCTGTTGTTGCAGACATACCAGTGTGCCCATCTCCTCATGCCAGTGCTGGGGTTCAAACTCAGATCCTCATGCTTGGTGTGGGCGCCTCACTGGCTGAGTCAGCCAGCCCTAGAGAAAAGTCTTGGAAAAGGTCAGAAGAGAGCTAAGGGGGTAAAAGATGCTTTTCTAGAAAACTCTCTCTTCCACTTCTCAACTGTAGCGGCCTTGGCTTCGGTTCAAATCAAGCAGTGTCTGAACTAAGACACATTCTTGAATGGAAACTAGGACAATTAAAAGATGATAGTGCGGGCGGGGGTGGACAAGAGAAATGCATGGAGTTCCGTCCTCACTTTCTATCTTCCACTTGGGTGTGCAGGTCAAAGAGGCTCGCGGAACAAGCACCTCGGACCTGACTCAGTTGTCTTGCTGGCCTGGGGAAGTAGTTTAAGTATCTGACATTGTTGCAAAACAGATGCTTAAGTTTTCACTCTACCGGTATTTCTTAAGCGGCAGAGGGACTGATGGGATAAAGAGCTGGGTCAGGCACCTCTAGGCGTCAGCTAGAGCAGCAAGCTCTCCAACTCAGGAGATTCTTTCTCTTGTCGCCACATAATGCTGGCTTCCAGCTCTCACAGGTCTAGACTTCCTGTTTAAGCCATCTAGTTGCCTAAAAGAGACCACACAAGGACAATTCTGAGGAATTGCAGGTCTGTTCAAGATGTAGCTAGCTATTTAGTGGAGTCTGTGAAAATCTGTCACTGCCGGGAGCTCCCATTTAAGGAATGGATCCCAATTCTGTTTTACCCACTCAATTTGTGTGTCTTCTGAGGGCACCCACAATAGTAGCCCCACCCATCCTGGGGCCTAGCATACTCACAGAACTACCCATGTGGGCCAGCGCGTCTTCTGCTCGGCCGACTCGGCTTCCTTTAGTACTCACGGTGAATGCTCTTGTTATGTGACTGCAGAACTCTACAGAAATCTTACAGCTCTGAAAGAAAGCAATCTCTTCAGCTGAAAACTCCCTCAACGGCAGCCAGGGAGCTTGGAAGTCCTCTAGGCACTACCCAGCACCCAGCTTTTCTAAGCCTCATGGCTTTGATTTGGGGAATTTCTGGACCCTTTCAAGGTTACCTATGTGCTTCCCCACTGAGCTAGCACATGGTCACTTCCGTCTGGGCCTCATGCCACTCTCAACATGTTCCAATCTGAATGTTGACATCTCATTAATACTTTTTCAAGCTCACATCGTCAGGTTTTTTGTTTGTTTGTTTGTTGTTTGTTTGAGATATGGTTTCTCCATGTAGTCCCAGCTGTTGAGAAACTGCTCTATAGACCATGTTGGTCTCAAACTCAGAGATCCTCCTGCCTCTGCCTCCCGAGTGCTGGGATTAAAGGTGTGTGTGCCAACCACACCTGGCTACATTTTCAATACTTTCTATCTGGCAACTGTGGGGAAGTCCTACAGAATAACCTGGTATGTAAAACTCGGGTGTCTTAATGTCATTGAGCTACAATTTCTTTGTTTCCAGACAATCTCATTGAGTCCTAGCTGACCTCAAATTGCTGTGTAGCTGAGGGATGATGACTTAGAAACTTCTGACCCTCTTCCTCTGTTTCCCCGGTGCTGGGGCTACAGGTATACACTCCAGAGCTTACAAAATGCCGGGACTGAAGTCTGGGTTCATGCATCCTATGCAAGCACTCTACAAAGCTGAGTTGGCTACCACAGCCTTTTTTTTTTTTTTTTTTTTTGTTTTTGAGACAGGATCTCAATTTGTAGTCTAGGCTGTTCTGGAATTTACTGTGGTTGAGGCTGGCCTCTTAGCTTGCAGGGCCTCTCGGTTGCTGGGATTGTAACGTGTGCCATCATACCAGGTCAAGTGGCTTTACGGTCCTTTCTGGACAACGGAGGACAGCACACCCAAACAGATCGTGGAGACATTTTCATGCCACAGCACCGAAGGCTACACAACTCACTACAGCTAAAAACAAAAGGAGATAAGACCGAAGCCTTGAACTTACGAGCTTCCTGCCTCAGCCACCTGAGGGCTGGGACTGCCCAGCTTCAGAAACTGAGTGATCGCCTGCTCCCGGGTGATCTAGTGCACTCCTGTTCTCGGTGCCCTGCGGACTCAAGTACTCATCCCATCTCTCCCTGGGCACCTACGAGCAAAAGGCAGCCACATATTTCAGGCCCCTTCAGAACTCACATGAAACCCAGGTCACAAGAGCTTAGAGCAGGACTCACCATCACTAGGTTGACCAAGGACACGGCATTCAGACTGATGCCCCACAGCCCCATAACCCCCGAACATGTTGACCAGGATCATGGCTATGGTGACACACATGATGACTGCAGACCACAGCTCCCAGCCCAGGACCACCAAGGTCACCAGAAATATGGAGCCCAGAGACACACTGAGGTTAAAGATGGTGTCATCAATAATGGTCAGGTACTGTTAGTAGAGGACGTAGAACACACTAGGGAGGAGAGTGTCTGGTTAGAGCTGGCACTCCTGGGGTCTTCCTGCTTTACCCCATCACCCCGCTAAGTGGAGAGACTGCTGGAATGTGGCAGACACCCCAGAAAGCCACCTGAGACGGCACAATGCACTGAGCCTCCCAACTATCTTTGATGGCCACTGATACCCAAAAACGACCAAAGTAACCCCAAGTGTGTGTTTGCATACAGTTTCTACTTACGCCCAATTCCTGCTGCCTTATAAACCCTGCCAAAGAAATTCCATCGGCTGCTATGTTAGGAAAAAAACTAAGCATCCGGGGCCAGTCTGGGAACTACCCTAGGCCATGGCAGTGTAAGCCCAGCTGCGTCTGAGAATTAGAATACAAACTCTAAATGGCCACACGAAGAGGCTGCCATTCTTCAATGGAGACCACGCTTATGGCTTGAGAAAAGCAATCATCGGATTGCCGCATCTTCCGTGTTTTTCAAGGAAAAAGCAGCAGTGGCAACAAGAAAGTAAAAACCTCTAACCCAGCAAATGAAAAGTCTGTATCAAGTACTGTCCCAGGCACCAAGCAGGCAGCTGCTGACTGCATGACTGGATGACAGGCACGTCCCTTCCTCAAGGCTTGTTACTTCACCGTGTGTCTCTCTGGGCTGGGACAGCACACCAAGGTCTGTGTCTAGTCCCCAGAGCATAGCGGATGCTCCAGATTCTGCCAATGCTCACCTCAAATTCCCTTCACACAACGCTCCCGGCTAAGGGTGAAGCAGGTGTCTGAATGAGAGCTGGGGCTCTCCAGCGGCCCCCACACCCTCCAATCCCATCCCTGTATGTATAGCCATCCCTGCTTTACCTGTACGGGAACACGCGGTAGTTACTCCCCTTAGAATTCAGGGTTTCTGTGATGTTACTGGCTACAAGCTGGGCTTTTTCATGGCGTCAATATAGTCAGCAGAGGTCTTAAGGACCGTGTGGTAGGTCATGAAGTAAGTGGCCCCAACATAAGTGTCATCTCCGATGATATTAACAGCTGAACTGTAAACAGCATGTTCCCTGAGGAAGAACCAGGGGTGTCAGAACGGCTATGGCTTTAGCACAGTATGAACACCCTAGGTGAAGGCACCTGTCCTGGCCTGACGGATGAAGGAGGCCTACAGGAGGCCTTATTATCTTACTGTGGCACTTTGTCTGGTGCATGGGCGCTATTGTTTCTCTATCTGATTCTACTTAATATCAAACATGATGCAGAGTTAACCTGGCACTACTATGTGACAGGTGGGAAACCTGGACTTGAATCCACCCTGGCAGAGTGGATTCAACCCCTTAGCCCCAACAACTCCTCTGTGAATGGGCACACCAGCTCATGCCCATAGGCTGGGAGTGCACAGAGGGATCAAAGCCAGTGAGGTGTTTGGCATGACACTGCACAGCAGATATTCCCTTTAGCTACTACTTTCTAACTGATTCCCAAAGTGGCCATGCTTTTCATGAAGAAAATTCCAGGATAACCTCGATAATCACAAGCAAAACCAGTTCTAAGCTCTACTCTATTACTTTTTAGAGGTAGTCTTCATCAGAGGTAGCAGGAATGTCAAAACAGACATGACACACACAAGTAAAAAGATTACTAAAAAAACAAGTACATTCAGTGAGTTATATCCCAGGTGATGTTCAACTTTTCATCTACAAATTCTACTAAATCAATCCTCTTATCTTTACTATCTCTGGGCCAGACATGGGGACATCTGTTCCTATCCACGTGGGTAATAAGTGGTGTGGTAACTTAAATGTAGTGGCCTCTATTAGCTCACAGGGGAGGGCACCTATTAAGAGGTGTGGCTTTGTTGGAGGAAGTGTGTCACTATAGGGATTGGGCTTTGGTCTCCTATGCTCAAGGCACTGCCCAGTGTCTCAGTTCACTTCCTGCTGCCTGTGGATCAAAGATGTAGAACTCTCAGTTCCTTTTCCTGCCTGCCTGCCTGCCATGTCCCACCATGATAATGGACTAAACCTCTTTAACTGTAAGCCACTCCAATGAAAGCTTCCTTTATAAAGTGTGAAGTCATATCGTCTCTTCACAGCAACAGAAACCCTAAGACAGGAGTTGGTATTAGTACTGGGGTGTTGTAAAGGCCTGACACTAACTTTAGTTTTGAGGTGACTTTTGTTATTTTTGGTTAAGAATGCAGTGGAAGGCTTTAAGCACTGCTTAATGGGCCATTCTATAGGAACATGCAAGACAGTGGTGCTGGGCGTAATTTGAACTGCGGATTGGTTTCAGAGGGGAAGAATATTAATATGTGGCATAGGGATTGTTCTTGTGCCTATTTTAGTGATATTTGCCCTATATCTGAAGAGTCTGCCTGAGGCTAAAGTGAGTAGTTCTGGATTAATTGCATTAGCTAAGGAAATCTCAGAACAGGCTAGCATAGACTCTGTCCTGTGGTTATTAGTGGTGACTCTGTGAAGTTGATAATGAAAAGGGCAAGCAGAGCAGGGTAAATTACAAAATGTACAATTTGAGGAGGAAAGTCACATCAGGAAGTGGAATGAGCTAAGTCCATGTTTAAGGAGATAAACAGTTAGAGAAATGGGATAAAGGGATTGGGTGGCCTCAGAGCTGCTAACAGGGAGAGGGACCAGCCCCAGGGAAAGAGGGCTGACAGGGAGAGGGACCAGCCCCAGGGGAAAGGGTGATGACAGGGAGAGGACCAGCCCCAGGGAAAGAGGGGCTGATAACAGGGAGAGGGGACCAGCCCCAGGGAAGAGTGATGACAGGGAGGGACCAGCCCCCAGGAAAGAGGGCTGATAACAGGGAGAAGGACCAGCCCCAGGGAAAGAGGGCTGCCGTGAAACACAGCCGACAGGAGTAGGAGATCTGAAGAGAGTGGCATCAGACGCGGAGGTGCAGAGTTGAAGGTTGGCCCAGCTGGTTTCTGGTCTGGCTTTGGTCCAGGGTTTCCTCACTGTGCTCTCTTCCCTTGTTTTGGAATGGTGATGTGTCATTCATGTGTGTTCCTTAATGACACAATTATGTCCTGTGTCATTATATGTCAGAAGAATGCGATCTGATTTTTCATTTTGATTTTATAGGGAATACAGTTAGGAGATTGCATGGATCTCAGAAGAGACTTGGAACTTTAGACTTTTAAATAAGTTTTGAGACTGTTATAGACTATGGGCACTTTTGGAGTTGAACTAAACTAATTTTGCATTATAGTATTGACACAAGCCTATGGGGCCAGGGAGTGGAGTGTGGAATTTAGAGATGTAATTAGCCCCTATGAGCACATAAAGGGAAGTGTGGCCTTGCTGGAGTTAGGTGTGGACTTGCTGGAGGAAGTATGTCACTGTAGGCTTTGAGGTCTTCTATGCTCAAGCCAAGCCCAGTGTGGGCACAGTCTTCTGCTGCTGCCTGTGGATCAAGATGTAGGACTAAAATTCTCAAACTGTGTAAGTCAGCCCCAATGAAATGTTTTCCTTTATATGAGTGGCTGT